TCCCCAGATTCCTCCACGGATTCCAGCTTCAGAAGCGGCTCACGCATATCACTTCTTGGTTCCTTTCCATAATCCCTAAATCATCTATCAAGCCCATACGCAGCACTTTTATATTTGGTTGTAACCTACAGTAGTTTCATGGTTGTAGCGTCATCATCTGCTGCCAGCGATTTTCGTAAAGAAGCCGACCATTGCACGTGGCCCTTTTGTTTTGGCACCTTCCTTGGCTTTTCTTCATCATATTGGCCTCTGTACTGAAATTCACGTTACTTGACTGTAATATACCTCAAAGTTTTCAAACGCGGCTGCTAGTAGTGATGAGTTTTACTGTAAGAGGAATTTGATAGATTATGGACACTAATATTGAATAACAAGACAGTCCATTTATTTTACACTAGTTTGGAATGATTCTTCTATGATCATCATATCGGACGAGTTTGTCTCTAGTTGATACTTAGCACCATTGGCTTGCTCGAAATCTTGGATTTAGATGAGCTCCCAACGGTCGCGATGTGATCTATCAATCCTTAATGGTAGAATTTGCGGAGCTTTGAATATCCTAGGTATGTCTTTGATACGCTGATATCCTTTACATTAATCAAAAGATGATAGACAGGACAAATACAATAATTTGGTAAGTGTGTTGTTTTTACCTGCTGGAAACCACCACCCCAACTGGTCGTCCTCCACAATCCATTTGCTTTAGCAAGTCGAACTCTTTCACTACATCGTTCGAATGCATTCTCCCTTTTTCGACGAATCTCTTCGATTTTCTAGAAATCAACTGAGATGTTTTTGCGAATTCAAGGCTCTGTTCGGGTCTGCGATTGAAGTTAGCGATAGCATATAGGATATCACCAAAACAACAGCTGTTAGTCAGATATTTGATGATGGCATTTTGTTTGGAAATAATGTTCTTAGATTAAGGAGAAAAAGCAAGAAATGCTCTGGAATAGCCTATGATCAGCTCAGTTGTCTTACACTAGAAGCATTCCCTGTGTTTTCAAAAAACCCTAGTACCTCCGCTTTGAAAATACTTTAAAATGAAAAAAAGGGGAGCAGATGTCCCACCTATTGACGCGCATTATATATTTGCCAATTAGAAGAAGCGAATTCGGAACAACTGCGTGCATTCGCGATTTTTTAAATGCTTCGCCCTGAATTTAGATCGGCTTTCAATTTTTTTTGAAAATTCAGGTTTTTAGAGGTTTTTCGCCTATTCGTCATTGGCAACACAATTGAAACCAATTGCGCGTTCAAATCATTCAAAAATGCTTTTTTGACATGATTAACTTAAGAAAAAATTTCAAATGCTAAGAAGAGAGAATTTTTGACAAATTGTGTTTCAGTTGCAAGTAATTTGACAAAATTGTGTGACTTACCGATATATACATGCTGCAACGAATAACTGCTGAGAATAAATAGGTTTGAAACGCCGCTAAAGAGAGTAGCAGAGTGGCAAGCCACATCCGCTCCATGAAGTGATTGAGCTATAATTTCTCATTGTTACTCAATGTTCGAAGACGAAGGAGATTAACGCATTGAAACTTACTGTAAATGGCCTTGACTGTACATACAAATCCCCGTAGAAGTATGAAACTGCATAAAGCCCAAAATATCCTATAGAAAATAACAGAAAAATGGCTTGTATTAGGATGTGTGGCAGTAAAAGACTAGATGTATCAGTAATAATCCCGCAAAACAGTAGAAGAATCTAAAATGAAAATGTTGAGCTTAAAATATCGCTGTGCCGTATGTTGTTGTTGGAGCATTATTTTCGTGCTGCGCATTTTCTTGCAGAACCTATACTTCGAGACTTGAAAATGAGTCATTCACCTTTTATTAAACAATTTATTCT